GCTGACCGGGGTTGACCACGTTGACTCGGCGTTGACCAAGGCGTTGACCGGAGCTGCTGCCCAAGATTTTGACCAAGCTGGAATTGGTGATATCTCGTTGACCCTTCAGCCTTTTCCCCTTACCCTGTGGATGTGCACTTACCCCACGGTACTTGCTGAGTTGTCTGTCTACTCTTTCTGCATTGAGTCTCTTCTGTCTTAGGTAGTAGGACTCTGTGGATGAAGGATAGGGCCTTGCTGCCAAACCTGCACGGGCTATCCTTGCTGCCAAACCTGCACGGGCTTAGTAGGACCTAAGCTCTACTCTGACACTTGGAGACTTGGGCATGAGCGGCGAGCGCTCGTTAAACAACTCGTCTAGCCCAATGACCGGTACTGTCCGGCAGGTCTACTGAGTTCAATGTGGAGGGTCTGAACTCCGAGCTGTAGGCTGAAACGAAGGCCGTCTTTAAGTGTTGAGGCCTGGTTGAGCCACTCCCCTACCGGACCTAATAAGGCTGATGATCTATGTCTGACGACTCGATTGTCCCGAGGGATACGAACCCCTCCAAGGACCGGTACAGACCGGCGGGCTGCTCGGTGTGGCACAGTAGGCTGGACGGGCTGAGTTGTGGGCTGAAATCGCCAGAGGAACCAAGGTGATCGCGTCGTCCTGTCTGCGACGTTAAAGAATTCTTGCGAAGTTGGGGGATCTTCTAAAATACCTCCTGATCAGCTTTTGGTTCTGTAGTGACAGCCTTAGAGTAGTCTTGGGTTAGTTGCCTGTGGCCCTTAGGGAGTCAGTCAGTAGGTCAGTGTGTCCGGGTAGGTCTACGTGGTGAGGAGTGGGACCCCTGCCGTGCACCAACACCACGATGGATGACTATCCGATGTATGGGCTACTTGTTGGGTTCTCCCTCTGGGGGACCCTCTGGCGTCTCCTCTTTCCTTTGGGTTTTTAGCCCACTCTCACGTGTAGAGTAAGGCCCACTCGCGGTGGGACTTCCACCACCCCTTACACGAAGGAGGAGGAGGAGAAGATGGCTGCCATTCTGCAGGAGAAGAAGGAGAAGAAGGAGGCCAAGAAGAAGGCCTTGAACGAGGAGCAGGCGGCCAAATTAAAGAAGATGGAAGAAGAGATGGCCAGGGAGAAAGAGAAGTTGAAAAAGGAAGAAGAAGAGAACCTGAAGGAGGTGGATGAAGAAGAGGAAGGACCGCCACCGCAAAGGAGTAGTGGGCAGCCCAGTAGTAATACCGATGGAGACTTAGAGAAGAGGATATCTGAATGGGTTGCCAACCTGACTGTGGGAGAAGAGGAAGAGGTTAGTATGTACATCCSGMAGGATCAGCAAGAAGCCGCCATGAAGGCTTGGGAGGCAGAGAAAGACCCTCTGAAACGTCAAGCGTTGGAAGACGAGAAGAAGATGGAATGGAAATTAGCGGTGATGCGGGAGAAGAAGAGGAGAATCGACAAGGCAGCGGAGGCGGCAGAGGCCTTAGAGGAAGTGAAGAATATAGAGGCGCAATTAGCGGCCCAACCCGATCTCCCGAATTAGATGCGAGTCATAGCTCGAAGCGTTGCATGCCTAGCACGGGTTCAGGCAGACCAATATGACTTTAGCAGAAGCCAGGACATAGCGGTGCGCTCGATACGGTTGGGCTTTCGAGACTTTGCTCGTGAGCTGGTAGGCGCCGTTGGAGTCGAGGTGGGTCATCGCCTCGACAAGACTGAGCGATTTTGCGCCGACGCCATTGAAGGCGTCAAGGCGGCAGCTCCCAAGGAGGAGGAAGCACGTCCTCCTCGCCATGAGCCTGTCAAAGTCAAGTTCCCCGATTCCTACAGCGGGAAGAGGGAGGAAAACTTTGACAATTGGGAGGCCAACGTTAAGACCTATGTGCACTTGCAACAGGTCTCCCTAGATCAGCAAGTCTTAATTGCTATCCACGCACTGAGAGATGAGGCGGCCAGTTTTGCAAGGTCCCTAGTTCGCGCTGCCAACTGTAGTGATGATCCCGTTGCGTACTCCTCATTTACGTCCCTCACCGAATTTCTGAAGTTGCTGTGCGAGCGATTTGTTGATGACGCTCGCAGTGTCAAGGCCTCAGACAAGCTCCAAACCATCCATTCTCGTAAATGGAAGAGTGCCAGGGCACTCAAGTCTATCATCCAGTTTACCATAGCTTTCCATTTGGTTGCCTCTCGAGGAGGTTGTAGGAATGGGTGTAGTCTGGCAAGCCATCTGTGATCCTGCGAGGGGTGGTTGAAAAGTCGGTGGCCCTCAAAGACCGATGCTGGAGCAACGCTGGCCGAAGCCGGAGCCGGAGCCAGGTGGCGCAACTCTGTGACCTAGCTTAGTGGGGGCGTGAGGCCTGGTAGAGAGCTCTGGGGGGCTGTTTGCGGGGGCAGTCCCAGTGGTCATCGGGGGTCGTAACTGGAGCAATGCTGGCCGGTGCTGGAGCAAGGTGGTGCAACTCTGTAACCTAACTTCATGGGAGCATGAGGCCTGGAAGAGCTCCGGTTCGTGCTGAAATTAGCCATGCTGGTGGTGGTCGTAGGTGGATTGAATAGGTTTCACCTATCTGATTTGTGATGGGGAAGCTTTTTGACACACATATTCTATTGACTTGGTAGAGTCTGAATGAAAAAAAAAGTCGGTTGTTCTTATGAACGTCTTAGGACTTTACGGTTTCTTAGGAATCCATCTTAGGCGGTTTCGATGCTGTTATACTCAGTGATTTGTGGTCGTTCGATGCCAGAACATGGCTGGCCGGTGCTGGGGTGTTGCCCTGTAACCTACTGATGCAGGAGCGTGAGGCCTGGTAGAGAGATCTCGGGATGCTTTGGGGTGGGCATCCCAAGGGACGACCAAGGGTTGCTGCTGGGATGACGCTGGTCGGAGCTGGGGCGAGTTGTGTTGCCCTGTAACCCAGCAGGGTGGGGACATGAGGCCTGGAAGAGCTCAGCAGGGAGTAAGATGGTGTTGGGAAGTCTTAGAAGGGTTTGTCAGGGAACCTGAGGGTAGTAAGCATTCGTAGGACCTCCGTGGCAGGTTATTGCATGAGTAATTCCCTAATAGGTCATTAGATACACAGGATCCTCCCCATGTTTCTGAATCTCATCGTGTTCACAGATTGTTCTCAGCCGAAGCCGATTAATGGCCCCGGTATCTCAAATGACCTCAAACGACCTCAAATGTTCTCAATGATCTGTATAGTTCGATATGGGACGCTGGGCCCGGTTCCCTGCACGTGCTGCTCCCCACGAATAGACTGGAGCATTTGTTCAAAAAAAAAAAGAAAAAAAAAGCCAAAAGGCCGAGAAAGGTATCCTCCCTCTTAATTTTGAAGCCATTCTGTTCATCCCAAAAAAAAAGAAAAATTGGCAAAGATGGTGGTGTCAAAACTTGCTTGCCCACTCACTAATTTATTTTTTCTCTTTTTCACTTTTTGTCTTTCCTTTATTTTGGGGCATGAAAAAAATTATTGTTTTTTCAAAATTTATTTGTATATTTTCTATTACTTAAGATACACATATATAAATTTTCATGGCATTTGTCACAGCCAAAAACAAATGAAAAATTGTCAAAGATGGCGGTGTGAAAAACGTGCTTGCCCACTCAATAATTTCATTCTCGTTTTATTTTCCTAATTTTCATTTTTATTATTAATTTTGAGTACTTGGTTTCAATTTCAAATGTGGTAAAGAATTTTGACATAACGTTGAGGCAAATGTTGTTTAGTTTATTCTTCTGCATAACATATATTGTTTTCAGATTTTTTGGAAATCGTTTTTTTTTTTTTTTCATTTGTTTTTTTTGGGTCCGCGTTCGACCGAACGGGCGGACGCGTCGAGAGGGGGTGCCGAACATTCAGGCGTTAGGCCTGTCCCGAACGCCGACAACCCTGTATATATGTATATACTATTATTATTAGTATTATACTATACATGTTTATTCATTTTTTATTATTATTATTTTTTTGTCTCCAGATCTGATAGAATTTTGAAATGACCTCCAGCCAAAAGTTGTTGGTATTGTTACAATCTACAACATACCGTATTTTCCAAGGCTGAATTTCCGGTCCCACCGGGGGCCCCTTCCCCGACCGGAACCGGGCCAGGGGTACCGGCTGGTGGAGAGCGTCGGTTCCCCCCCGGTGGAAATTTGCGCAATTCGACGGGGGGGGGCCTCAATTTTTTTTTGGGCTGGTAGGCCTCCATGCGGGTCATGGAGGCCTCCCAGCCCCGAAAAAGAACAAACCGGGTCCTGCAGGCGCGCCCAAATGCTAAAAAACTGGCGGCCTATCTGGGCCGTCAATCTATTTAGATCTGCGGCCCTGATAGGCCGCCAGTTTTTGAACATTCGTGTGGGAAACCGCCCGAAGTTCTTGGAGGCGAACAACGATCCCCAAGCAGCGGCCCAACCTCCCCGCCTCCTGCCTCTGCTTTTGAACAACCATCCCCAAGACCCATCACTTCGATACTTCGTCGAAAGTGAGCGAGGTTGAGACTGCGTCGGCCCGCCCACGTCCATCTGCAAGCCGTTAGCCCCCCCCACGTTTGCCCCGGCCTCGGATCGCCATCGCCCCAGCCCGCCGTCCATTGGTAAAGGCGAGTCTGTCTGTTTTTTCTTCTTCGTACTACCTTCTTCTTCTTCTTCTTCTTCTTCTTCTTCTTACTATCAACCCATGAATTTCCACACCTCCCCCCAAAAAAGACCGAGGAATTTTTTTTTTGGGTTGATGGTGGTCGAAGGAAATTCATGGATTGCCTTCTTGGATTTGCGCGGAGGAGGGTGGTGGGTTGTCTCTTATACACATCTAGATGTGTATAAGAGACAGGTGCACGCCCACCATCAACCCATGAATTTCCACACCTCCCCCCAAAAAAGACCAAGGAATTTGCTTTTTTGCAGATCACTGTTTTCTCTGCGGATTTGGGGAAATCTCGACAAGCGCAGTCCAACCCCATCAGCAGAAAAATAAATAAATAAAAAAAATTGACCCGATTTTGGCCCCAACCAGATTTTCGGTTGGACCACCAGGGTTCCAACCGGCCCAGTTGGGTCAGGTCCAACCGGCCGGTGGCCGGTGAAGCCTTGTTTTTTCAGATTTTTTTGAGGTGTTTTGTTTTTTTGGAAGAGTACCCTATTTTTCACCCTCCCGATATACTTAATCTGGTTTCATCTGGCAGTAGTATCCGCTCTGCAAATCCGGATAAATCAAGGGTGCTCGGATATCCAGATTTGCTACTTAGCTTAATTGCGTGCGAACTTAAACCACCAGTACCTACCGGTTGTCAAGGCCCGACCCTAGAACTACCGGTAGGCCTAACCTACAGCTACGGTGACGAGCCTCGAATACCGGTACCTCGAGGACATCAAAATTTGCTTACAATAAATGTGAACAAAATCAAAAGAAAAACAAATGAAAAACAAAGAAAACTTTCAAAAAAAAAGAAAAAAAAGGAAGAAGTAAAACGAAATTGAGAAAAAGGGAGTGCATTGCGCCAAGACAGAGAGAGAGAGAGAGAATAGAATAGAATAGAGAATAAAGAGCAAACAAAAACGCAACAATGGAGCCAAAACCACCTCAGTACCACACATGATGCACGTGTATCCCGATCCTCCTCTTCGTTAAGTCACAAACAAACATCACCTGTACGCATTTCCCTCTACGCGTTTCACCGTTGGCGTATACAACGGACTCATCAGGGGGTGATCCTCACTTCTCTCTCAAGCATACTCGAACCGAGATACCTTGTGCGTCGTCCTTCCCTCTTTATATATTATGCGCACCCTACTCCTTCCTCCTAATCTAGCCTACAGAACACACAACTTGCTCATCTACTACTCCCCTCCTCCCTCTCTCTGTATCCTGTAAATCTTCTAATCGGGCGCTGGATTTTTTTCCCGCCTTCCCTCCTTCCTTATTTTTTCTCCCTATTTCACTTTCTTCCATTTCTCCCTTCGACTTCCTTCTCTCCTTCCTTCACGCATCCTTACCCATCCGACTTCCTTGTCTCCTCTCCTTCCTTCTCCCTTCCACATTCTTCAGTGTCGGCTAAAGAGATTCGTGCCGTACCTGGTCGATTTTTTATCGCCACTGTCTATCTTTAGTTCGATTTGTTGGTTGCACATCATACCCATCCTTCCTCTGTCAAACGCGACTCCCTGCTGTAATATGTCTCGTCCGATTCTCTCGCCGTTACTGCGTTTTCCCAACTCCATTCCATACTTAGATGTGACTCTGCCATCGCTGACCCATCTCTTCTTCTTCCTTCCACGGTCTTCCCACCTTTCCTTCTCCCGACCCTGTATATCCTTCCCATCCCTTTTCTTCGCGTGTGGCGGCCTGCCTTAAAAACCTCTGATTCACCATGTTTGGCTATGTCGTTGTCACTCCCGATTCTACCATTCTTTCCTATCCTCCGTGCATCCCTCCCTCCCTCCTTCTCTCCGTGGGTATCGGCACTCCCAGAATAGAAAACCGAACCAAAAAAATTCAAAGAAAACAGAAAGGCAAAAAAGGCATAGATAACAAAAAGCCCTCGCCCTTTCTCGGCACTTCATTCCTTTTTTTC